GTTATTCATGCCAGAGCCCAGCAACCCAGGTAGAGACAGTTTGATGAAGCTCTGTACATCTGTGTGCAATAAAGTCAGTGAACAAAAGGCTTGTGAGGTCCTTGGCAAAATATGCGATCAGGAGACAGCAGCACTGAGTTTAGTGGAGCAACTGGAGCCAAAAGCTTTCATGGGAGAGGCTTCAGCACCTGGCACACTTTCAGCCCATAGTTGGGTCTGCAGCCCACGCCAGGAGGTCTTCTCCACTGGGTGAAAAGCAAAGTGTGGGGAGAGTAGGTAATGCCAGTCTTGGGAGGTGATTTTTATTACAGCTGGCGCAGACGTTCATAGAAAGAAAAGATGGGTTGCTAAAGAGCCACTTAGTGTGGCAGGAAAAGACAAACCAAGAAGCACTGACTGGAAATTAAAGCCAGGCCAATTCATGTTAGGAACAAGGCAAATGCTTCAGCACAGCGGGAGATCAACCACGGGCCAGGGGAGAGGATGGGCGGGAGCCACGTTTCCTGAGCATGCGGTCCAGGACCTGCTGCTGGGTCCCTGCTGGGACTCACAGCTGGTCCCAGGGATTGCTGTGTGCCCAGGCGCTGCCCACACTCAGCATCTCCCAGCTCCCACTGCCAGTTTTCTCTGAGGCTGTAGCATCATTGTGATGGATCCCATCACCCCATGGCCTAGGCTTGTCTCCAGCAAGGACTTCATGATGCATTGATGGGTCATTTTGCATTACCCTAATTCTTCCATCCCTATGCACTATTGTGAGGAAAAGATAGGATGGCTGTTTGCCTTCAGTCAGAACAAGCCTCTGCCATTGGGCATCTGCAACCACATCAGGCTACAGAGCGAGCTGCCAGCTAGCCCTGGTTAGTGCGCAGCAATGGTCACTCAGGACCCAGGCACTCAGGGTAAGCATAGGAGACAGTAATTTCAGTTAAAACCACTCTCCTTGGGTCAATTTGACCCCTTCTGTCTCCACAACCAGGTGGCTTGGAGGGGGTGGCTAATGGAAAAGCAGCTATATGCACAGGGTTGGGAGGCACTCCAAGCCCAGGGGTGTCCTCAGTGCCCTGGGAGTGCAGGTGGAAGGAGGGGACAGAGCCAAGGCTAAGCTGACAGAGCCAAAAAAACCCCAAGAAGTCCCAGTGGATGGGCGGCTCTTGCTCCTGTCTGCTTGAAGGCAGCTCACAGGGAGGCCAAGGGCAGAATGCTGGGCATGGAGTGGGGCTTGTCCAGCCCACACCTTCTCCCAGCTCATTCTTTCCCTCCTGGGAGGGTTTATATCTTGAGGCATATTCACAGTCTTTTGCTCTGGATGAGGACAGGGACAGCTGTTTTGGGAAGCTCCTTAAAGCTTCATCTGAGGTTCAACTTCTTGCCTTCCCCAGATACTGGATTTTCCCCTCCCTAGAAAATCAATCTCAAGTCGGTCCCTGGGAGCAGGGCTGCCAGCAGCTCTGCACACTCCACTTATTCCTACATATTCCCAGGCAGCTCTGCCTTGCTGGGACCAGCTGAAACATTTGCAAAGATCTTCAGAAAATTCCCAGAGTTCTGCTTGCCTGGCTTGGCAAAAGCATTTCTGCTTATCAACCAGCACAAAGAAATTTGAAGATTTCCATTCACTCTTCGGGTGGGCTCAGCTCTGAATTTTAAAAAGGAATTTGCCAATGCAGTCTTGCAAAATACTTGAGTATCAAGTCCAGCTCTCCTAAAATACAAGTTTTATGAGGAGGTGGTGGGCTTTCATGCTCTTAGGAAAATACGTACTTGTGTCAGCTTCAAGGAAAAACTAGGTCTTCTCTGAGGCCATGCCACCTCCCTGGATAAATGTCTCCTTATGTTGATCAACGGAGACTAAATCCCATGGTTTGTAGCACCAAAGGAAGCACCTCTGCTCTGGAGCCAGGCTGGGAGAGTTGGGGTGTTCAGCCTGGAGAGGAGAAGGCTCCAGGGAGACCTTAGAGCACCTTCCAGTGCCTGAAGGGGCCCCAGGAAAGCTGGGGAGGGAGAGAGATAGGAGGAGGGGAAACAGTTTTAAGCTGAAAGAGGAGAGATTTAGATGAGATAGTAGGAAGAAATTATTTCCTGTGAGGGTGGTGAGACCCTGGCCTAGGTTGCCCAGGGAAGCTGTGGCCAGGATGTGTTCAAGGTCAGGATGTGCGGGGCTTAGAGCAACCTGGTCTAGTGGGAGGTGTCCCTGCCCATGGCAGGGGGTTGGATCTAGATGATCTTGAAGGTCCTTTCCAACCCAAACCAGTCTGGGATTCTGTGATTCTATGAAAGGCAAAGTCTCTCAAGGCTTTGAACAATGAAGATATCCCTGCATGGCCACAGGTGACAGCAGGGATGGCAGACCCTCAGACTGAAGGACTTAGATCTTTGTTTCCTCTGCTTGCACAGAGCCCTGAGGCCATGCCATTGATACAGGTGTCACCTTGGTGATTACCTGTAGCCAGGAGGGCATCTTTCATGTTTCAGCCCTGGTGCACCTCTCAGCTGGTCCATGCCTAGTTGAAGGCTCTGTTCTGAGCAGAGGTACCTCAACCTGGTGCCTCCAGCACACCCAGGAAAAGAGTTTGATCTCAGCAGCTTGCTCACCTCACTGTAAAACAAGGATTGGGACTTCAAATGGGCCACCTTCTTCCCAAAAGCTCAGCTGATGTGTCCTGCAGGGCAGGAATCGCCCCTCAGACCCTGTTTCTCAAGCCCTGACCAAGTGGCTGCTGGGGTGCTCCTAGCAAAGTTTGAAGATGCAGATGGAAGGGAAAAAACCTCCTAGGGGGGAGGCAGAAAGTGCTTGGTGAGTGGTCCTGTGCTACTTTCACATGCCAACAGGCTGTTTGGGTGTGGATGCAGCAAATGGGTCTGTGGGACTGAGCAGATATTAAAAGTAGCAATTCCCTCCAGATGCAGGAGCTGTGTCTCCAAAGTAGGAGATGACAAACGTACCCGCAGGCTGGTGAGCTCATCTGAGGAGAAGCAAACCGCAGTTCAAAGTGGTGGCCCCACTCGGTGTCAGGAATCTCACTTTCTCACGGCTGGTGAACAGCTCTTGGGCCGCTCTTCTCACCATTAGCACGTTGGTGGCTGCTTCTCCTGCTCTGCCAGCTTTTGTGGGGACATGAGGTTGTGCCTCATCACATCGGCCAGAGGAATTCAGTTTGCAAAGCACGGAGAGAGCAATCTCCATCCTGCTGCTTGGACGTGAGCAGAGGATTTTCCTCTCCCCTTTGCTTTCCTATCATGAGTTAGCTGGGGATTGTTCCCAAGAAATAATCCAGAACTGCACTGTCATTTTCTGGGCTGAAATTTGATAATTAAACAAATATAGCATGGCTTTGTCTTGGGCAAGCACCATAAGGTAAACAGGAAGGAATGAGGGATTAAGATGTCTCTGCTCTAAAGGAAGGTGACAAGCCCAGAGCCGTGACACCTTGGTTTGGAGGCGAGAGGCCCAGCTGTGGGCTGGCACTGCTCAGACACATTGTTCGGGGGCGAAGAGCAAATAAAAGCAAAGGGAAAAGAAAACAAGCTGTAAGATTCTCAGCAAAGCACAGAGCCCCAGCAACTGCCTCTTGATGTTGCTGTGACAGCTCTAGGGAGAGGCAGGCAAGGGGTCAAGCTTTTGAAGTCCTTAAGTTCTCCTTTGCAAAGGCCCCTGTTAAAATAGACCCAGTGTTGACATTAGGCTGCATATGGTGGAGAAATTGGGCATCTCCTGGCAGGTTCAGTCCCAGCACATGCAATCAAAGCTGAGAGGAACTTTTTGGTCTTTGACTAACGGGTCTGTCCCAGTGGTGGGATGATAGATGTGGAGGCAAAGGTGAGGTTTTATTGGCATGGTCAGGGCTGCAGACATGTAACAGAGCTGTGTGCTACTGGTCCCAGGCATGGGAAGGAAAGCCAGGACAGAAGCTACCTAGGAAGGTCTTGAAATGTTTGGAAATCACACATACATTGGAACTGGTGAGACTGGGAGTACTGGAAACATCGGGCAGGTGATGGGAGTGGGACTTCACAGAAGTTGGTGGGGAGTGTTGTACCGAGCAGTAGCATGATGTGATATAGCACATGTCAGAGCAGAGGAGAGGGGAGATGAGCTGCACTCACATGAGGCAAAGCACCCAGGAAAAAGCTGGAGGCACAGCTGGGGGGTTGTTGTTGTGTTTCTGAATCCTGGATGCACTTCCTGCCCTCTCAGCCCTGCCTGCACCCCACTTTTAATTCGCCTTAAGCAAGAGGCAATATTGCATGTTACATAGTGAAAAGAGGTCTTGGTGACCTCAGCTTCCCTTCCAAAAAGCTGGACTTGCTACACACCACTGGTCAAGGAGGGACATGGAGCTCCTGGAGCAAGTCCAGAGGAGGGCCACAAAGATGATCAGAAGGCTTGAGCACCTCGCCTACAAGGACAGGCTGAGAGAGTTGGGGTGTTCAGCCTGGAGAAGAGAAGGCTCCAGGGAGACCTTAGAGCAGCTTCCAGTGCCTGAAGGGGCTCCAGGAAAGCTGGGGAGGGACTTGGGACAAGGGCAGGGAGGGATGGGACAAGAGGTAATGGATTAAAACTGGAAGAGAGGAGATTTAGGTTAGACATTAGGAAGAAATTCCTTAGTGTGAGGATGGTGAGGCACTGGCCCAGGTTGTCCGGGGAAGTTGTGGATGTCCCCTCTCTGGAGGCACTCAGGGCCAGGTTGGATGGGGCTTGGAGCAGCCTGATCTAGCGGGAGGTGTCCCTGCCAATTCAGGAGGGCTTGGGTCTAAACTATCTTTAAGGTCCCTTCCAACACAAACCATTCTGTGATGATTCCATGATGTGGTTTTGCAGTTGGCTTCCCATAGCCCGAGGTGTCTGCAGAGCATCCCACCCTGTAACACCCTTGCTGCAGTGGGACAGCGGGACAGGACCTCGAGGGTCCCCATCCCCACTGCAGGAGCTGTCCCGGGGTCGCCCCCCGGGCGGCCAGGCACAGGAACTGATGCTCTCGGCTCTTTGCCTCTCGCAGCCTGCAACTGCAACCTGCACGCCCGGCGCTGCCGGTTCAACATGGAGCTGTACAAGCTGTCGGGGCGCAAGAGCGGCGGCGTCTGCCTCAACTGCCGGCACAACACGGCGGGGCGGCACTGCCACTACTGCAAGGAGGGCTTCTACAGGGACCTCAGCAAGCCCATCTCCCACCGCAAGGCCTGCAAAGGTACTGGGTCGGGAGGGGGACGCGGCCGGGACCACACGGTTCCTTCTCCTTCCAACCCCTTCCTGCCACTCCTGCTTCCACAGCTCCCGCCAAACTCCTCCCACTCCTCCCTCCCCCAGACCTTTTAAATGACTTTTCTTGCCCCGCATCCCCACCGTCACTGCTCCCTGGTGCCCTAAGCCTGCTGGTGGGAACAACACCACCAAAATACAAAAAGTCCTCGCTGCTGAGGATGCCTCTGAATTATTTCAGGTTTTATCACTTATAAATCGTGCTTCATCTCCTCTGATAGCCAGAGCTAACTTGGTCACCACACGTGTGAGGACAGAGTTACACACATCCCACGTACCGGGTCAGATGTAGCCTCCAAATGCCCATCTCCTGCTCCCACCCTCCACTCTTACCCCACAACCAGCTTTTAACCCACACACAAAACATTTCATTTCTCCAGACAAGTCAAGAACAGTAAAATGGGAAACAATTTCATTTTGAGCTCGGCAAGCAAAGTTTTTTGAGGTTTCCTCTTCTCCTACAGCAGATGTGAAGGCAAGTGGGGCTTCAGCTGGGGCAGGAGCAGCAATAAAAGCAATTCCTGCAAATGAACCTTTTAAACTCTCAGCTGTCTGCTGGAAGAGATAGAAATCCTGACCCTGAGACGTAGCTGAAGGAATCAAGCAAACATTCAAAAGCCAGATTAGAAGATGCTGGGTTTTCCCACAGTTTCAGCTCTTTTCTCTCTAAAGACTCATTTCAACGAGAGATGGGAAACTTTTTGGCCCAAACTGGGTATTTTTGGCTTGAAATCTTTGGGTCTTCAGTGTTTTCAGTTTTTTAATGAAAACGCTTCTTCACAGTTCTTTGCTTTGTTTCAGTTTGTATTTGTTTTGGTTTTGGGCTTTTGTTTGTTTGTTTGTTTTCCCACTGAAAACAAACAGTCTTTGCCAAAGCAGAAAATGCAATCACTTTTTAGCCAGCCCTACACCTCCCGTTGTTTTTCACCTGGTAAAAAATAATTTCAAGAAGACATTTTCGACCCACTCTATGCTGAGGCTTCTAACAAGCTCCAGCTTCAGCTGAAGCCTGGGCTGGTGGGATGCAAACCCAGCCTGTGGCTCTGGAGGGAAAAAGGAGTTGCTGTTTTGGGGTCCAAGGAGCCAGAAAGTTGGGGTTGGAGGGCTGAGCCCCAACACCCAGCACCCTGCTGGACCCCAGCTCCAGCAGCAAGCTGCCTGCCATGCCTCACCCCCTGGCCCTGAGCCGGGATGTGTTGTAATAAACTGCTTCTTTCTGCTTTCGTGGCCAGGTCGCAGCCGAAGTAACAGGGTGTTAGATTGAGGGCAACAAAGAGAAATGGTGGAGGTGTGGGATCTCCTCAAGCAGGGCCAGGTAGCAATCCCTTTCACCCCTAGGCAGCAATGCAGGAGGGCACCCATCACCCCTGGGCAGCAGTGTGCTTGCAGAGGCATTTGCTGACATCCAGAGCCTGATGCTCAGTTACCTTCCTGCTCACCAGAAAGAGTTTTGGGGTGGCAGGGTGGTGGTGGGAATTCCCACCCTTCCCCAAGCCCAGTTGACTCCTTCCCAGGGCTGGGTCTATCCCAGCTGTCTGCCCCGCATGGAGAGTCCTGGGGACAGGATGGGATTTGTCAGAGGGGAAGGCTCTGTCCCAGCCATGGCGTCACTGTGAATCCAAAGGGTTCCAGTCACTGTGCATCCATAGGGATTCCAGTCCTCTGGGATCAGCACTGGAAGCAGGGAGGGGATTCTCCACTGGAGAATAGTGCTGATCCCCAGCTTTTCCATCCTGGGAAAAGGCAGCCCCTGCCCTTCATTGGCAGGGATGTCAACACGTAACTCTTCCTATCTTATTGCCTCTAGCATTTCACAGGACCTTCCTCTCTTCTGCTTTTCCCAGCTCTTCTTCCCAGCCATGGAGCCTACTCCCCCTCTCCTGCCCAACAATCCTTGCTGGGCCCCCACTCTTGCTAAGCTCTTCATGGCTGGAGGAGACAAGGAGCATGATGCTCTTACCCAAAATGCACAGGGTGGGGAACCTCAGAGCCAGGCCGTGCCTCAGTTTCCCCAGCCAGGAAGGTGCACACTGGCCTTCGTGAGGCACTCAGCAATATTTTAAGGCTGAATTTGCCAGCCACTGGGTTATTCTCTTTATTAAATGCTCTTTACAACTGTTCTTTTCTCACCCCCCTGCCTTCTCCAACTTCTCGCACTCCTGATATCTGAGATCACCCACCTTTAATCACTTCTCCAGCACACACACACACACACACATCAGTTTATAACAAAACTGCGGCTATTGGAGCTAACAGATACTAAGGTTTGTCATAAAGATGTTGGGGCAGGGGCAGCTACCGACTCACAGGCAATTACAGTCATTGGGATGGTTTATTGTTGGTGTCAACCATTGTCCCATTCAAAGGAAGGAGAAATGAAGTTTCCTACAGCAAAGGCATTCCTTTGAAAACGCCTTTTCCTGAGCTCTGCTGATGACACCAGGGTATTCTGTGTTCTCTCTTCATGTTTTTTTTTCCTGATTTAAGGACCGTTCTGAAAAAAATTGTTCAAAACAGGGATTTTTAAAAAGCAAACCCTACCAGCTATCAGCTTCAGCCATTTCTTCATTGATAACAGTATTAACTGATCATCTCACCAAGCCATCTGCCAGTGGGCAAAGCTCTCCTGGAGTCTCACCTCCATCAAATGTAAATACGTTTACATTAATTAAGGACTTAACCATCCTGTAGCATCTGCCACCTACCTCACAACCACCCAAAATCTCATCTCATCCAGCAGACTGTTTTTTTTCAAGAAGACTAGATTCTTTCAACCATCACATCACTCTGTTCATGTCCTGTGGCTAAACAAATGCACCTTCTGAAGCACCTCTACCTTGTGAGCTGCTAGAGAGCTGCCCAGCAAGCTTGCAGCACACTTCACCACCCTGACAAGCCTCTGGTGAACTCACAGCAAATATTCCTTGAAAGAGTTGCTAAAAAGATTTTTTTTATTAATTCCACTTCATCAGTTCCACCTAACAGACAGATCCAGCTAAACTGCCTTTCTCCTCACTTGTTTTTCTGACTTCCCACTCCCCCCCATACGCTGGGTTATGTACCTCAATTCATAATGTATCTCACTTCAGAAAGTTATAGAGGCACCAGTTACATTCTTTTAAATGGTTGGGTTTGGTATTTATGCAAAAATATCACACAGCTGAAATGTTTTCTACTATTTCTACTTATTTGTTTTTAATTTGAGAAGAACCTACAAACTATTGGACATGTTGCAGGGTAGGCAGCAAAAGGAGGAGGTGGAGTTGGGCAGTGTCCTCCTGCCCAGGTAAGGTCTGGTTTGTTTTTTGTATAGCCAAATCTATAAATATTTTTAATTCAAATGTATTTTTTAATGATCTGAAGTTGTCTTAGCAGCACAAGAAGTTTGGCTTTACAGATGATTTTTTCTCCTGCTGGTCACAGTGAAGCAGCCAGCTCTCCTTCCTCACCTGTGCATTTGCTTCCAGTTATTTTCTTGTAAAAAAACCAGTAAAAGCAAAAAACACCCCACAAAGTTGTCAGTGATAGATGGCAGAGCCATGCAACAGGCAAGGGCCTGGCATGAAGTCTGCCAGGCACAGGCAGGGGGATGGCTGGCAGATGGAGCAGGGCACAGCAGGGCCCGGGCTGGAAGGGGGGGCTGGGGAGAGCGGGGGCTGCAGGGGTGGGTGGGTGGTCGGGCAAACCCGGGGACACCAGTTGCTGAAGGCAGAGCTGGGGCTGCCCAGTCCTTTGGGGTCAGGGTGCACAGCTAATCCCTGCCTAGCCCATGGTGGGGATGCTGGGGCTGGGGGAGCCCTGTGGCTGCACAGGTGGGCTCATCCGCTGGGAGCCAGAGTAGGATGCTCTTGCAGATACCTCAAAATCCAGGTCCTGCACACACACCCCGCAGGTGTGGGGGCTGTCCTGAGGAACAGTAAAACCCCAGGCATCAGAAATTCTGTGTTCATCTTTCAAAATAAGGGCAAATTATTCCTCCTTTCTCTCTGGTTCTTGAGAGACCATGAAAGGATTGGACAAGATGATCTGCAGAAGTCCCTTCCAACCCCTGACATTCTGTGATCCTGACATTCTGTGATTCTAACATTCTATGAAGAGCTCCCAAAGCTCTGAAGCCCTGCTTCCCCTTCCTCCTGCTTGCCCTCTGCTCCAAATGATGTTGCAAGTTGAAATTCCACATCTGGGTCCTGTGAAGCTCCGTCATGGGCTGCCATAAATCAGGACCCTGGTGTTAGTTCTTCTGATTAAATTTCCCTCCTGATATTTGCCAGGTTATTGGGACTAATGTTATTCCATTGGAACGGAGACTTGTCAGGATTTTATAGCCTGGCTGTAAACCAGCTCTGCACCTTGGAGGAAGGATTTTTGATGAAAAGATGACAAACGATGCACGTTATGAATGCACTAGTGCTGGGGCTGCCAGTGGAAACCCCTCGTGAAGGGGCTGGATTTGGCACCTGGGGAGGTCACATGCACTATATCTCCATGTTTTGGTAAAAAAGCAGGATGGACTGTGGCAGCCACGTGCCCAGGCCCAGCCTGGGAGATTGTTCCATCTGCCTTGGAGGATTGTTTCGTTTATGCAAAAAGACCCCAACCAAGAGCACTCTCAGCCTACCTGCCCATCCTTTCTTGGACTTGCAAAGGCTCAAGACTTGGACTTTTGCTTTTTTGAGCCAGTTTGGGTTCAAGAGTGAAGAGTGAGTGTTGTCCCCATAGGCTCAGCCCCGGTCCTTGATTTCAGATACAGGTTTTCTTCCAACTCAGCTGCAGGAATTTGAGGCGGGGGTGGGGGGGCGGGAAGGGGGGTGGGTGTTGGAAACACTGTCGCAGCTGAATTCCTTTGGCTCCTGGCGCTGCTGGAGAGGAGAGCAGAGCCCCTGGTGACAGGGGCTGCGGGACGAGTTCCCGTCTCTCTCCACCGACTAC